TATTTGTTTCCTTGGTTTGGTTCTTGCGTTTCCGTCGCTGGTCCTTGTTCTTTCATCTGCTATTTGTTGCGTTCTGCCTGTATTTCTCCTGATATTTCTTTCTTTGTTACTGTGTCTTCTTCTTTTCTTTCTTTATTTATTCTGTCTGTCTCTCTGTCTCCCGTTGTGTCCTTTGTTTCTTTCGTTCCCTGTTTCTTTCTTTTTGTCCCTTCGTTCTGTCTTTCTTGCGTTATTCTTGCTTTCCTTCTTTCTCTCGTTCTTTCTTTAATCTTTGCTCTCGTTCCTTCTGCCTCCCTTTCTGTATCTCTTTCTTTTGCTGTGTCGTTCATTTGTTCTTGCTTTCTTTCTTCTGTCTGTCTTACTGTCTTTACTTCCGGCTTTGTTCCGATATTTCTTTGTCTCTTCCTCTCTTTCTTTATTGCGTTCTTTCTTTCTTTCAGTCTTTTCTTCTGCTTCTGCTCTTCCCCTTGAGTTTCCATGCTTAATAATAGCTTTGTGTTGTTGATGCGGTTGTGCTTTTGTACTGATGCATTTTTAATTCATTTTTTGATGCCTCTCTCAAACAACACACAGCCCTCATGGCTCCTCTGGAAGCAAGGACCGAAGCGAAGCCAAAGTGACAGCCTTGAAGTCTGGCAGGTTGATCGTGCCTGGCGTGAAAGGTAAGGAACAGTGCGACATGCCGGAGGGCCAGTACTGCCAGACTCATTGCCGACTGTTGTTCTGAATCGTCTCTTCGCTGCTGAAACATGTAAGGTGTCAAGCAATCTCTCAAGCTTTTCGCAGGTCCAACACGCTGGTCCAATTTTAGGAAGCATGCGCCGACGAGCCTCGGTATTTCGCCAAAACAAGCGAGACCACATCGCACTCCTCCTGGTGACAGAAAGCTCTGTGCCACCCCACCTTTAGGAGTCGAGCCTTTGCTGCCTGCTGGCGGCTGCTAGAGGCTGCTAGCGAGGGAGACATATTTGGAGTGAACAACGAGATCGTCTCGGAGTCTCGCATCGAGACCAAACACCCCTCGGTCAAACTTCGAAAAGGTGTTGCCTCCAGCTTCTACGAAATCGTGCATGTCCTGAAGGCGGGAGGAGTTCGCGACGTTCCGCACCATGTCGTCAAACTGAGCCAAGATGATGTTCATCCACCTGGCATCCAGTGTCGTGGGGGCAGGCTGGATGTCTTGGCTTCTCAGCAAGCATGCAAGCAATTAAGCAAGCAAGCAAGCAGTGTGCACGTGTTTGCGCCGAAGCCCATCACGGATGCATTGAAAAGCACCATCTCGTTGAACGTAGTGGGCACCTTCATCCTTGCACAGCATGGCATGACATGGCATGTGGATCATGAGGAGCCTCCAAGACAAACATCAGTCCGCTACATCCTGCTTTGCAGAGAAGTCTCTGACCATCACTTGGCTCTCCGGAGCTGCGTGCGCCAGACTGGTTCGAGGCCTGGCAGTTGGTAGACTGCAGGCCTCCTCGTGAGCAAACTTGAGCAAGTGGCATGAGGGTGCCACCACAAGCGGTGACAAGCGCTCCATGATGCCACGCTAGGCCTTCGTGGTCTTCACGTTGTTGTCTTGCTTAACTTCGTTCACATTGGTCTCTTTCTCCTTGTCGCCCTCGTCTTCCGCACCTTCCTCCGGCTCCTGCAGCGATGCAGAAAACATCTGGTCGAGCCCATGCTACAAGTCTAAGCCATCATCGCACTTGCAATGTCCTCGTCTGCTACCGTGGCCTTCGCCGGGTGATGCATGCTCCCAAGCTACGAGATTAACCAGCAGGCATTCGTCGCTCTCTTACCTTCCCGCCCAGTGCCTCTGCGTCGTTCGACCCCTTGGATGCGAAGTTCCAACTGCGCAGGATCCTCAGCTTTCACACAAGTATCCTTTGCTCTGACAGGCTACGTGCACCCGTGTGCCACATGCAAACACATGCGCATGAACTCTGTGGCAATTCGGGCGATCCACTCATGGTGACGAATCATGCAACAAGACTAAGATCGCATCCCAAATGGACAGTATCTCCGATACCCAAGGCAGGCGACAGCTATTCGTGTTGTCAGCAGAAGCAGAATGGAAGACAGAACCAGTACAGACAGCAGGGGCAGACTGAACCAAACGCGGCTGACTTTCCTTCAGAACGTTCTGACGCAATGCCCACAAGCGACTGATGTGCCGGCCAAGCAGCAGACTAATACGCCCTGCGTACTCCCTGCGGATGTAGATGAAGGCGCCGCCTGTGGCTCGCAAGGCCGACACACCAGAATGCTCACTCGCCTCGAAGTCAATACAAAAGGCTGTTGACAACAAACCAACCGTTTGGCTGCTTTTTTCTCGCCAGGGGTGGCTTTCCAGGGCCAGGGTTTAGAGAGTCTGCTGTGCTCGTGTGACTAAACACAGACACAGAAATCTAGTTTGCATAGGACCTTTGACAATGGGCAACCTTCAACGCAATTTGAAACGAAATTGTTCGTGCTCGTTCTTGGCGAACGCTTGTGTCTTCCACATTGTGGCATCCTACTCTCGACAGGAACATATATGTGTCGCACAAATCGACGTGCCTTTCGAATGCCGTACTCAGACAGCTCTGCTCATGTTAAGGTCTCCGAACGACCTGTGAACAATTCACCACGGCAGCTGGCCGGCCTGCATAATTTATCAGCGTTTGGAGTCCCGCGCGGACGTTGCTGTTGAAGCGTGATCCTATCGTCTCCTGCAGGTGAGGATCAGCTGCATTCCGCTGAACTTGTTCTGGAAAACTAGTGGAAGCTGACTCCTCCATAAGATCCAAAAAGGCTTCTCGGAAGAAGTCCACACGCACACCTTGGCAACCATAGCAGCTGGTAGCCCTCGTACGCTTCGTGAGTTGCTTGGCCCGGCTGGTTTCTGATCCTGTTTGAGACGACCCAGCGGAAAGAGTAGAGGCGTCTGTCCGTCTTCCCCCTGTACGCAATCCTTCACTGCAAAGAGTCGGCAATTCGAAGCCCCAGCAAAAACTCGACAGAGAACGCCCAAAGTTGCCTACAAACATCCACAGCCCAAACGCCTGTACCTGCAAGAATTCAATCTCAGGGGCTCGTGACATCGATCTCCAAGTGCCGAAATCCTTGAGCTTCCTGGGTGCAGTGAACAAAGGGGAAAAGAGCCATGGGAAGTACGACACCAAGAACGAATGCCATGGAAAGCCTGGCTTCGATTTCCTTTTTCAGTTGCACCTTGTGCGAGCAGCATGCAATGATGCTGCTGATGCCGATCATGAATCGCATGGCCTCAGTTTGGTGGTGGTCAGGAGGTGTGACTAGTGACTAGTGGAAGGGTCGGCACAAAGAGACTAACTGGAGTGCAGCCAAGCCACCACTACAGCTTTGGGGCTCTTGAACAAAAGCTGCAGGCTTGGTGCTGCATCGAACAGCGATGTGAAAAACCTGGGCGAGCTGATACGCTCCTCGCCGTTTTTGTGTTTCGGAAAGCGGCAAAGCCTTGCTACCACAAGCTTTCATCATGCGAAGGCGTCAACAGTGAACAGTGAAATGGTGCCCAGATGCATTTCCCCGGCTGCTTCGCGTGACTCAAACTCGCCACAAAAGGCATTCCAGGCCTCCTGGACCTGAGCGCAGAAATCCAAAACGGGAATACCTCATCTCATTTTCACCTCATTTCTTGCATGCAAAGCCTCAACCCCAGGATCCAGATGTTCATCAAAACTCACATGAGCTTAAACGAAGTTGCGGCTAGCTGTGTTTGGAGTCCATCGGCTTCTGGCTGTTGGGATATACTGCCCAAAAGCCTTTCCATCTCTGAATCGCTTGGCGACAAGTAGCGTCTGTTGCGATGGTCTCTGGTAGTTCAAAGTCATCGAAAGCAGAGTCGTCCACTGCGGCATACTTTTCCTGAGGTTCGCAGGTTGTGCTGCAATGATTCGCCCGCGACCAGGTTCTTGGACAGATTCACTTCTAAACACATTTCTCTGGATGGTCACCCTTGCTGCCGAGAACGGCCGAAGATGGCAAAATTGCTCTGACTCAGCTCTGTATACTGCACGCTGAGATCCGAAGCCGAGGAGCTAAGCCAAGATTTGCCAAGGAAACTTCAACTTCATTGGAGTCAGGCTCAACGTCTCCTTCGGAGAACACGGCCAGTCCTCCCTCGCCTTGCTCGTTGTCGCTGGTCGCGTCTTCTTCCCACACCTACCAGTAGCAGGGCATGAAGTGAGGAGCCTCGTACGCTCCAAGAAGGGTGATTGGCTCGTGCGACCTAGGGCTTAAGTGAAGGCATGATGAATGTTTTCGTGAACCAGCGGAGCAGATTTGCAAGAGCACACGCCAAGTCCTTCCAGTGCTGCTCCTCTGAGTGGAAAATTACTACACAGAACAACCTTATAGCTGTGACCTCGTCGTCGTTGTCTTCGAGTTCCTCTGACATGGCAGCTGGGGGCGGGCGAGAGGAGTTGCCAGATCGAAAGCTGTAACTAGGGATAGAAACTATCGGCTGTGCAACGGTGTGGGTGTCTAAAAGGTATTATGTGCTTATTTTGCGATGTCTGGCAGCACCAGGCTTGAATTGAGCGGGCGACTGGTGCTCAGGTCGTTGACTTTATTTTTCCTACACGTTCCTTGATCCAAAATCAGGCATGGCTCATGCTGCTAAGTTATCCCGGCCTGCCATGCCATACTGCACAAGGCCAGTTGTTTGCTCCTACTTGCAATCGATTTCCCTGTTGTGCTGCTTATACAAGCAGTTCTGCTTCTTTGTTCCTCCTGCTCTGACGAGTGCTGGTTGTTTTCTCCTCGTCATCACGATCCCCATCCGTCGCTGAACCACCAATGCGATGGACATCATCACAACCACCATCATCATAGCTCTCCGCAGCGTCATCGTCAGGGCCTGCCCGACAAATCGACCACTCATGACTCCGCCAGTCCTCGCATTTCCCCTCTTTTTCTGTTGAGCGTCGGGTCCGAAGCTCAGCCGACAGCAGCAGACGGCCTCTGATCTGCACAGCGGTCTGCAATACTTAACATGCAAGGACCTGACGTGGAGAAGATATTTGGCGGCATGCTTCTGGTCAGGGCTATTTTCAAGAGGTCGGAATATGGTGGAGTTGAAGCAAACCTCTCGACAACTAGTTCAAACCGGATCCTTCACAATGCTGTCAGTAGAAGCTTCTTCCGGCCTTTGCTGCGTCGCCCTTCACGGCCAGTAGGGTGGCTTTGGTTCATCTGAAGTACAGAGTCTCCTCGAAAGCAGAATCGTCACGAAAGGAAAGCTCTCATGACGATTTCGGACGAGGATTCTTCTGACGATGATGGCGACAGCAAGAATCCAAGAAATGGAGAGCGGCTCTACTAGCAAAGCCACGGGCAATGTGGACATTGCCCGGCAAAGCAACATGTCAATACATGCTATGGCAGCTATGGCATCTGCACTGAGCTGCACACCACTTGGCAGGGCCGATTGCCTGGTGTAAGCACCTCCGGCAGTGCTTAGACACCAACACAAGAAAGCCGGCTGCAATGTGTGAGGCTGCTCTTCCCATCACGACGTTGTAGCGCCTGCTCTTCTGCGAGAAGCCTGACCCATCAACAAGAAAGCATGGAGGAATGCTGGGGTTATAGAATCACGGGGGAGTTTGAGACTTCAACTGTCAGGGAAGTCGCTCAACATGCCAACCCATCTCAGACGGCAGCGGTAGGCACAATGAAGGTCTCCACGAAACACAACCTCAGCCTCTCTACAGCAATCGTGCCATTGACCAAAACTTAGGCGAACAGCTCAGCCAGCTGCCCTCCAGCCTGACTGACCTCACAAGCTGCCCATTTGGAGGCTTCTTCGAGACATTGTAGTTACGAGTAAGCCCAACCCCGAAGCCCAATCTCCCGGCATTTCATGCACTCGCGGTCGTGGGCTGGCAGGACGCGCTGAGTTTCCGACCAAGGAAATTCGGGAAGCTATACGATCTCAAATCTACATACAACCTACTCCACATCTTCTCCACGAAGCGGATCTGTACAGCAGTTCGTGGTCTGTACAATGACAAACACCTTGAGTCCATGTCTCTGCAGTCCAGAGAGCGTCAGCTTTTGCGATTCCACGACACATTTTGCTTCACCGGCACATCGCTCAGACTGCAGCTTGACACGGTCCAGGCGTTGTCGAACTACAGGCCCTCAACTGGTTGCGTGCCAGACAATTCCAGTCTACTTCGAAAAAAAGCGATCAATGTCACGCCGGATCCTCTGCACGTGCGCATCAGTACCCCACCATGTATCCATCAGCGCATGGACCCCCCGCAGGTCGGAGGCCTGCAGCAAGGGGGCGGGACTTCGCAAGGTTTGCATGTTGGCTGCCGGCTTCCCAACTCCTTCACTCCTTCACTCACTCACTCACCTCACTGACCTCGCGCAGCTCTCTCACCTCACTCATGTTAAGTATAAGCTGCCCAATGTCCCACCGAATGGTCATGATGCAGTATCGAATGCTACAACGCCGAATAGCATTTGGCTCAAGACTGGACATGACTAGCTTTGGTCGCATAAAGGAACGTTTGCTTGATTGTGTTGTGGATTGGGGAAATATACTGACCTTGGTTGCTCACAACTGTGCAGATTGTATAATGGAACTTTGCATGGTAGCGGAGCATTGGCTCTGGAACCAGGGAAACAGTGAAAGAGAATGGACTTTGGAGTGAGAGGCATTGGAGGAGTGATTAAACTGTTTCCTCCTCCGACTTACCACGGTGAGTTGGAGAAATGGGAAGGCCGGTCACGGCAGCTGCAGCGATATGTTGGATTGTAGGCTCAAGACTGGACATGACTGGTTTGAGCGCATAAAGGAATGCTTGCTTGACTGTGTTGTGGATTGGGGAAATTTACTGATCTTGGCTGCTCACATCTGTGTAGATTGTATAGTGGAATTTTGCACACTCACTCTCTGACGCTCCTGCATGGTCGAATTTGGAGTCGGGTAGACTTCAGCAACACGTACCAAGCATCATCGATGGCTCCAAACCATGTGCCTGCGCCAACTGCTGGATTGCCTGCAAAGTAGTCGGCGTAGGAAGCGGGTGTTGGTCGAAAGCAGTGTCCACCACTGATGCACAGTACTGCCGGGTGCGGGTTCAAATGGCATCAGCACCTAATTAGCCAAATGCTACAGTAAGACCTTCTTTGCCGCCGTCAGCCTGCTGCAACTCCGAAGAAGCAAGCGATTGCAACAGCCAAGACTAGTTTGAGAACATGTTGTCATACTACTATACTTCACGGGTCTGCCTCCATGGCTTGCTCGCGGACAGCAGCGTCGGCGTGCCCAGCCTGCCAGCAAGCGGCCTCCAGTGTACGGCGATGTCCGGGGCCTGTTGACGACCAAACAGCATTGGAGCAACACCGTCTAGGACGTTTGGGACAGAAAACTCATTATGTGATTCGACCATGGTGAAGGATGCTAATGGATGCTACCTGTGCGTCAGATGTCGCCCACTTATTTCAGCTCCAACAGCATTGCAATGCAATGCCGATTCGTCTTAGCCGTGGCGCAAATCGCTACTGCTCGAGACTCCGATTCTGTCTGCTCTGATGCGACTGTGCCTGCTGCCAAGGTTGCGCATTCCAACGCGAGACGCGTGTGCTCGGCTGGAAGTCTCGGGAGCTCTGCCACAGCGGCCCTAGTCAAATGCCCGAGACACTGAGACACAAGACAGCACACACAAGACGTGCCACGCATCAACGACATGCCAATCGGCTACAGTAGGGCTTGCTACAAGTATCCGGTAGCTCGCAAGCCCATGATCTGCAAGGCTGATGCCGCTGGGTGGCCACAGGTCTGCATCCTCTTTCTCAGCAATGCCGCTGTCGGGGTTCGTTCGGAGAAAATGCGAGACGTTTGTGATGCTAACCTCGGCAAACGTCAGACAACCTTGACAATCTACCAGTCCTTTCTGGTCTGTCTCTGTCACATTCATGTTACAAGTGCAAACTTCTTCAAGAGCAGTACAAGATGTAAGTTGGGCACTGGTAACTTCCGCGGCCATGTCACCCGTGCCCAAGAAAGTAAGCTGTTTGGTAGAAACTCTGGCATGCATGGATCGTGCAGCCTGCAGGTGCACCTGTCGCCGAACTGGATTCCTAGATGATTGAAGCCAGGAAAATGCGGCAGGTTCGAATTCTACAAAGCCGTGAACCCTTCTCAATCAGATCGACGAGTTGCTGTCAAGAACATTGGCTCAGGAACTGCTGCACAGAGGAAGTTGCCGCTCTTGTTCACCCAATTGAATTCCAGGCATGACTTAAGCATTTCCAGCGAGACACCTCTTTCAGCAGCCACTTGTGGCAACTTAGTGGATTCTAAACTCTCCAATCCGCTCATGGGTATCAGCTGCCGATACATCCAACCAGGCTTCAACCGCCGAGCTGTTGTGAGGTAACCTCCCAGCGTGACCCTCGCTGCTGTCAAGGCATCGTTGACGAAAATGGCTGGTCCACCTTCCCATGGCCGTCCTTTTGAAGGCAGTTTGCTGCGCCGCTCCAAGTGCTCTATCAGACTCTGTATGAGCGAGGCCTCGTTTTGTGCAACCTCTTGCAGGGAGAGGGAGAGGTTTGCGCGGTCTGAATAAAACCATCGTGCAATTGCCATCGCAGCTTTGCGCTGCAGCTCCTCGTCCCCAGAAGTCAAGGCCCGTGCCAGCAATCGAGTTGCTTCCGCGGCTGGTAAGCCCTTCAACAACAGCTGAAGGGCCAAGTCTCTCAAGCTGGTATCCTGGAAGCTCAAGGCCCCGATGTAGCAACAGGCGAGATCACCGCCGAATTCCAAGAGCTGCAACATCGCCCCATATTTCCCTGCACCATCGACAGCTGCCAGGCAAATTTCTCGACAATGAAACGCCTGCAGGATCAACTGTAGCTCTGTTCCATCGCAGTATGAACCCACCGGAAGGTCGTCCATTAGCTCGATGGTCGCACAGTCATCACCTCAACACCATCAAAAGCGCAGGCATCGTTATGCATTTCGATGCTCACACTTGCACAATAAGCCAGGCAAGGCTTCAGGGCGAACTATCGCTGTGCATGTCGATTCTCACGAATTGAAGTACACCCGCATCGAGCGCAGGAATGCCTTCAAGTAGAAGCACCTGCCAATCCAGTGGCATTCCCGTCTCAAGCTCAATTCCTCAGCTGCTGCCTTAAGGGCCAGGATGCTACTCACTCACTACGGCTACGAGCAATGCACATGGTGGACCTGCTGTGGTGGTTTCTTCGCGGTCTCTCTTGCATCCCGTGTCTGGAATGGTATGTCTGACAAGCAAGGTAGTTCGACGGTGTTACCAGAGGCCTGTTCAAATCTGCTGAGCAACGCTGCTTGAGGTCTCGTGTCGTCTCTGCAGATGCCACGCTGAAACTCAGAGTCTGTCCTCCAGCAGCCGCACACATGCTTCGGCTGGCTTGTGGCTCTCCCATGACATTGCCCCGGAAAGCTTTTCGTGAACATTAATTAGGGCATGTAGAGCATTGAGGCTTGCCCTCCATATCGACATCCACCCTGATGTCCTGACAAACGTAGCACGCGAACCTCGACATCCTCTACGATTGGCCGCTGCACCCAGCCCGGTACTTGGGAAGATCCCCGCAGGCCTCACAACTTGAGGGCATGCACGACGAACCCATGTCAACTTCCCTGGTAGGCTCTACTTCAACATCAATGCTGTGACGAAATCCAGCCGAGCTGCTTGCAAGCCAATCCTGCAGCTCGTCCTGGCGAAGCTACAACATCTCGGCTTTCCGAAACTTGTCTTTCGTGTCCTCCGGGCCCAAGCCGCGTAGCATCTCCGAAGCCGGAAGGTTTGTGTTCCTGAGCCATTGCAGGGCTAGCCCTAGCCGCCCTAGCCCTTAGCTCTTCCTGTTCTGGCTTCTGCCGCTTCTGCCTTCCTAAATGAATGCCAAGTGCAGAAACGCCCAAGCCTCGGCGCATGTGCCAGCCTTTCGGCCCAGCTTCGTGCCTCCCGAAGAAACATGACAATGCTATCTGCCAGCCTTTGCCGCGCGCTCAGCGCGCGCTGCCTAGGCCTAGTCCAACCGGAATCTAATGGACGATTCATGCTACTGGGTGCCATCTGCTACCTGTAGCCAGGCTGAAACACTGTAGGCCTCAAAGACCAGGCGCTTCTTGTGGAAAGGCTCCTGTGCAATAGTCACTCAAACTCAGCCAGGTAAAGGATGGCAAAAGCAAACTCCTTGCAGCTACTTCTAGGCTCTTAGCTTTGCATGCGCAGTACAGCATTGCAAGCGGTGCAATGACAGTGCAAGTGCTTGCAGGATTTGGCATGCGATCGCATCTCATGCCGTAAACCCGCACTCGAATGCAACTCTCCATCACGCGACAAGTCAACCGCAAATGGCAAGTCCTCCCAACCTAGGCCAGCCCTGGCCTGAAATGTGTCGACGTCCATGTGTGTGGCTTTAGGCTCCTCTGGAGCGGTGTAAGTTTGGACCTGGCAGCAGCTGCTTGGACCATGTAGGTCTGTTGGAGGTGTGGCCTTGGGCCTTGGGCCTCTCGAGACCGCAAACACTGCTGATCGAACTTGATGCTTGCATGCACGGCCGGTGACATGATGATCTACACATCAGAGGCAATCACAAGCAATGCAGCGATGCGATCCAGTGGGCCTCATGTGAAGAACCTGTTCGGTCCCGCCAACTCGTTATAAATCTCCACTCAAACCGGACTTCGCTCTTGCCAGCCTTGGGCCAGGACTTGTTTGCTGGTCTCCGTGCCGAAGATTTGGCTGCTGGCGGTGGCCGCTTCCCCTTGCCTGCCCCTGCATCGATCGTAAGTCGCTTGTTTCCATGGTTCTCTCTCTTGCAGATGCCTGCAGCATTGGCTTTCCGTGCTTCTAAAGGATCAGAAGAACCATGATGAAATTGTGGTGCAGCCCTGGCATTGTCCTTTTTTCATCCATTGTGAGCCTTTCAGGGCCATGGCCGCCCCTTCGACTTGGCTGCGCACTTCTGCAGGAGGGTAGCCAATCGCTCCCCCTTGAGCCGCGAGGCCTACTTGCATTCGATAAGACGCAAGACATGTCCAGTGCACACAAACACAACTGTAAGGAGAGGTACGTGGGAAAAGCCGGGCCGGCGGCTTGCAGTTCTCGCAATTGCTGAGGACAGAGCTGTCGCATGTCAGCTTCAAGCAGTAAGTCTTGCCGTCTTGCCGAAACCACCTCAGTGGCTGTAAGGCCAGCAGCCCCCAGCCAAAGCTGTGCATCTACACCAGGCTACATCTGTGTGACAACGGTGCTTCTAAATGTACTGACCAAAAATCAAGCTGAAGGCCATGTGCACGAGCCGGCGAAGATGCTCATCACATTGTTCACGCAGGTACCTCTTGGTCGAGTGCACCGTATTGGGTCTTGCTTTCGCCATGAAAGCCAGAATCAGCACGACAGAACACCGACATCACTATGACTATGACGCTGTGCAGTCCGGGCCACCGTCCTCCGAGCTGCAGGTGTGAAAGTCCTCATGCGGAGGCTCTCGAACGGGCCTGTCAGCATGCCAGGCGCTCACCCCTCAGGGCCTCTGCAATGGGGCTATACGCAGGAGATGGCAGGAGGTTCTCAACAACATACCCTTGACAATCACGAGGGATGGGGAGTGTTGAAGCAGACGGCCTATCATATGCAATATGATCCAGCTATTAGGACGACTGCACTTAATCTACTGCAACAGAGAGTAAGTTGTACCGGTAGCCATTCACAATGCAAAGCATGCTCCCTCACGCCGAGTGCCAAACTCTCCTGTGCCGATTTCATACCAATGCGGAAACCTCAGACTGGTCCCTACCGGCGAGCCTGCAATGCAAGAAACCACTCGGCCTAAAGCTCGTGGAGCTTGGACGGATCGGAGTTGTGTTGTCCCGTGTTCTGCAGCTACCCGGCGCGCGTCGCATGGCTTCCTTAAGGCCGCAGCGTTCCCAGCTCGTCGCAAGTGGTATCAAGCTCGCCGCCGTCCTCCCAGCGAGCCTCAGACTCAGGCTCGGAGTCGAAGTGTTTGCGGCTCGCAGCCACACTTACACAAGCCACAGCGAGCTGAAGGTTTGCAGCCGTTCGAGCAACATCAAGAACTTTTTTGGACAGCTCTGCAAGTTGCGAATTCTTCGTGTCGCCAGTCGTGCGATGCCTCGAAGGTACTTGCTATCGGATTACTACCAGAATGCAGAACGCTAAGAGATACAAGTGGATTGGCAGGCACGTGCAGGCACAGTTTACGACAGCCTATATCTGATTCTACAATTTCGATGGACACTGTGACAGAGCCCCCTTTCCCTCAGCTTCTAAACTGCCGGGCCATGCAACTATTCCGCCCCAAGATGCTGAATGGACACCCGGTCGCTTTCTGTGCCGACCTGGGGCGTCCAACCACTGCTACAAACACCAGCGACAAATGTCCTATAGATGGAGGCTGTCAGACTGACAGGCCTTGCGGCGAGCCAAAGCCGAAGGAAAAGCTCCGCCTCGACAGCTTTTGTCTAGTAATCTCGAAGGGCCCTAAAACTCTCGTCCAGGCACAAGCTGTGCGCAATGAAGCGAAGTGCAGCGAAGATCCTTCCGCTGCCGTTGGCTGCCAGACCGAATCGGTGCTCCGCAAGCATGCAGAGCCAAGAGATTGCCTGTGAGAAAGAAGCGAGCCAGACTTTGCAGAGCGTCTTCTCGGGGATTCGGGCAAAGTTTTCGTGCTGGTCAGGTGTCAAAGATGCCAGGCTGCGCTCGAACAGCAGCACTGCGCCGAACAAGCGCTGACACTGCTGATACCATGAACATTGCGGCCATGGTCATGATTGCGGGTGGTTTGACAAAACACACAAGGCGAGCGACGAGCTAATGGCCTGCGGCGCGTGATGGCGGGCGTTTGCGGGAGTGTTTTGGGCAGCATTGGGCTTGTAGGCAGGACAAACTGTCGCCAGCGCCATGCTATTGAGACATGTCGAAATCTTTCTACCACGGTCGCCTGATCCTTCTGCTTCAATGCCAAAGGACAGGCAGTCGCCCCGGGAGCATATAGCCTCTCATGCGAGTGAGCAGCAAGACCGCAATCTTTGGGCTTTCACAGTGCCGAGCAGACACTCTGGCTGTGGTTTCACGTCGCCTCCTTCACACCCTGGCCCTGGGCATCAGGAGCCCGAAACAGTTACGTCATGTTACGTCCTAAGTCGGACATCGGAGCCATGACAACAGCTTAAGAGCATCTCGTTTTGCACAACTTTTGGCCGCATGTATGTTCACGTATTGCTACATGTAAGCGCATGCACGCGTGTGCCATGGCATTTCTGTAGCTACGCACTCAATAACTTGAGCGAGCCTGGGCTTGATCCTGCAAGATCTGACTCAAAGGCGCAGAAGGCAACCTCAATGAGCAGAGTCTCTTCAGGTTCGAAAGGAGGATGCAGTCTAGGCAAATAGCCACTCGCAACAAGTCACCAGAGGTCATCCATGGCACCATTTCAAGACAAAGCACAGATTTGTCACCATGACGCCTCGAGGACGAAGGAGCCCTTTGGCAAGTGCCTCGGGGCATGTGCTTGACTTCAACCCAGGCCACACAGTCAGACCCCAGGTGCTGAAGTATGTTCATCGACCTCGTAGTGGTAGAGATTTTTGTCGCAGTGAGCAGCCTTCGGCACCCACACTTTGTTACTCCCTGGTTTGAGGATCCAAGCTGGCCTCGGGATGCCAACGGTCAGAACAAGCGAACGCCGAGCAATCCCAAGGGAGGAGAGAGCGGATCGAAGTTGCGATCGAGCGGGAGAGGTTGCGTTGCCAAGCTGCGGAAGAGAAGCTGGAGCCCGCAGAAGTGAAAGCAGAAGGCACGTTGCCCTCCACATCGTAGGCATCGATGACCAATGCGTCGTACATCCCGTTGTGTAGTCCTCGGCTGGATGAAGAGATTCCGAGATGAGGTGCATCGAGCTAGCGCAGGATGCGTAGACGCGTCCAATGAGGTGCTTAACTGTTCGGACACCCCGACTGAACCTACTTGCTGAGAAAGCCAACGATCGCCGTCCTGTCGATTCGGGTGATTCTAATTCCTGCCAGTGAGCCGTCAGTGCTGTGCACGGCTTGATGCACAAACTTCGCACCATCGTCCAAGTAGACATTGATCCGAGGATGTGGCACGAAGCCCATGGACTCCGCTGCGTCAAGGACAGCAGGCTCCAGCTCCACCACATCCACCCGACAATCAGGAAGCATTTCTGTGAAAAACGCTGGCACGCTTCCGCCCCCGAAGCCAACGCACAGGATGCGAAGCTCAGGCTCCTCTTTCTCAGAGTCGTCAGCCAGGGGCGCCCGTTCCAAAACCAGCTCGAGCGCTGCCAAGACCGAACTTGCCACAGACTTTGTGTAGGGCATCAGCAAACAATTTCGAAGATGCTGCCTCTGGTTACCGAACTCGTCGATCGAGACTCGGTTTATTGCCTCCGAAGGCGACAGGGCCAACATGCGCTTCACTGCGCGGCATGCAATTCGGCATTCATGTGCATGCTCAAGAATGCCGGTGCAATGCATACAGCCATGGGAATTGATTCTTATGCCGCATCGAAGACAGCAGTAAACACCTCCACAGACCACATAAACCCAGACCATCCTGGATCAAGTCGGAAGACCGGTTCTCGGGAATGAAGCGCAGAACACGCCACTCCTCGCCAAATACACGATATTACACGATTTCATGTTGCTCCGCAATCTTGCCGAACCGCCGCGAAGCTGTCGATGCATGCGTCCGAAAAGCCAGCTAACGACACGGCATTTTGAGTGCTTATTTGCTTGCAAATCAATTCGCCGACTTAGCTGGCAATTTGCATTTCACTGCATTGGGCTCCTGTACCCAACCTTCAGGTAGCGCACCTGCTGGAGTGGCGCGGTGTGCTGTAACCTTGGATCGTACGTTGCGGCATAGCATGAAAGGATAGCCTCGTACAAATACTTTTGTAAAATATGCATGCCTGCACCCGTGCCCACGCACTGACATGAAAGCAGACCTGACATGCTTCATCATGTCGCTGAGCGCGCTTGTGTAAACCTATTGGATCACACAGCTGGCTCAAGCATGTCCGCAAGCACTCGGCAGTGCGACCGTGTTTGCAAGCAGTGACGCCAGTGTTTGTACCATGAGATCATGAAAGCATTGAGTCCTATACTGCCACGACAGGACCCAAGAGCACTCGATGTAGACATATACTGATCATCTACTGGCTCACTCGTCCCTGGATCCCAAGCAGCCTGCAGCTCGCCTCCTTCGGGGTCACATGTCCGTTTTACGCCCTCATGGCTTGGAATTCGAATCAGATAGTTACACAGGTATCTTCAAGACAAGCTTGGAACTACGGCACTTAAGCTTTATCCGCTCTATGATGCTTGGAGCTCCCATTCGCAAGCTCCAAGATGCTGAGAAGCATGAGTCTCAGCCCTCGGTCCTTGCGAAAGCTGTTGCCGTCTGAGCAAACGACCAGGCATGAGGACCTCATGGATAAGTGCCTGGCTAGGGGTTGTTGCTTCATCCAGCGCTCCATAGCCACACCTTGTGCTTCACCCCTGTGACTCTCCATCATGATTGAATGATTCGTCCTCGCCTCGCGGCCCGGGTCACTATCGCCAGGCCGTGTTGCCGCAGCGCCAAGCACCTGGGCTTTGGGGCATGGTCCTGGTGTTGCGAGGGGCCGGAGGTCGTCGAAATTGCTTCAACAAGCAAAAATGGGGCCGTTCGTCTACCTTTCTTTGCTTACAGTCAAGGTATTTGACGACCTCGGCAGGATTCTCTCTGGGTTTCAGCTTTGTTGCATTTTGAACCCTAACGCCTGATTCCCTGAGCATTCAATCGCTTTCTGCTGTAATCTGCCACATACACAAACAATCATTAAAGGCTGAAGTTGGGCGGAGGATAAGCGTCCAACTAAGTCATGCTTCTCGAGGGGCACCAGTGCTGTCGCACTGCCAGGAATGGCCACACGCCTTCCTAATCGACGGCCAACCAGGCGCGAGGTGCGAGAGGCCATCGGTGTCTCAGTCTCTCTATGAGAGCTTCAACCAGTACAGACGCAATTGCTGTTATTTTGAGCAGCTGTCATGGGCTACGCATCGTGGCAAGTACACCACTGTGATGCCCGGCCTAGGCTCCTAGTCCTAGACACTGGACTACCAAACCAGCAACACATCTGTCACTGATGCCGGTAGGAAGGTTGGTAGATGTTCATAGGTTGAGTCTGAATGAGATCAAGCTTCCGACGGAAGCACCTGAGTCGAAATCTGAGCCAAACAGCCTCTTACGAGTCCAGCACCAAGTCTGTATGGTTCACCAGTTAAAGTCGATTAGGACCTTTCGGAATGCGCGAGTCGAGCCGGGCTTTTTGCCCGCGAGGAACGCGCGAGTCTAGCTCTTTGTGAGCGCCCTGGCCCTTGAGGCCGGGTCTGCGCCACACGGGATCTAAGACTGTAAGAACTGGCGAGAGTGTCGCTTCCAACTGCTTCTCTCTTCAATCGAACGGCGGTTGATCCGTTTGAGTCTAATTGCGAAGCGGAAGCATGCTTGGAACGAGTCGCGCTTGATGCAGCATTCAACGACATATCACTTAACCAGATGCTTTATCCGGCGGTGTTCGGCTTGTGGGACGATTAGCATGCAAATTTACAGTCTGCGACGCTGGATGCTACGCCGCACCCTCCAGCATCTACCATGCGCAACTGCCCTCTGGCAGGCGCACTTCCGGAGATTCGACATCCACGGCAGCCACGCCACTGCCCTCAGCACCACGAGGCAATAAAAGCAGTGCACAGCCTTGGCCTTGCATGGAACTCAAAGCAAAGGGCACCAACTTCGCGATGCTTTGAAGACAACGCGCCGAGAGTTCAGCTTGACAACCCAAGTGGACACGTACGTGGTGCACAAGGTGCTAGCTCGAGAGGCCAAGCGACCGAATCCAGATGCACTGCTGCGAAGCCCGCCCGATTTATCAAGGGGGCACCTTGGAGTTGGAACTAGCGCGGCCCGCTTGCTTACCCGTGACTTTCAAGCCCAAGGTGCAGCAGCCGCCTCCGCCACCGGACAGAATGTCAAGACACATGCCAGATTCGTCCTTGAAGGGTTTCAGCTGCAGTTGACGACTCAAATTCCCCCGCCCGCGTCACGGTGATCCCGGTCCTTCTTGTCACACTTCTGGTCATGGACATGTCCATATGCACCTTGGGCTGCTTGCGATCCATTGAGTTCTGGTCGGACTTTCCACGGAGTTCAGTCCGTCCTTCTAGATTCTTCAGTTTCTAAAGTCTGCCACAGCACAGAGCACTTTGACCTTGCCCTTGCGTGAAGCTGGGAGAGAGTCTTCGAAAAGATCCCTCGGGCAGAAGTGAGGGTAGTGCTGGATGATCAGAACCTCAAATTGCAAGCTGCACTCCAGGTTTTTGGAAGCACAACAAGGAAGAGCATCAAACCCATGCAAGCTGTAGAGAGGAGCCGTCCCAGCTTTGTTCTTCTTCGCCCGTTCGATTACCAGCCGACGACCGGCTTCGTAGGTCTTGTTGAGGAAGGTTTGGGCCACAGCGCGACCACCGCAAAGCGCATCGGCCGAGGCTCGGCCTCGTGGGTTCCCGCCGACATCTTCGGGGTTGAGGCGAGCGGAGGTGTCCACCGCTATGACCTCCACATCTGCGTGGGCATCACTCGGGATGGCGTAGTGATAGTTGTAATCTGGAAGCCAATACATCCTCGACAAAAAAGGGCTCTTGAACGGCACGACAAGAACCCAAATAAGAACAGATGGCAGATGTTTCGCATTCAAGACACTCGGTGCCCCAAGGGCGGCTCGGATTCTTGTCAAAGTTCAGCTGGTGGCTTGCATATGCCTGTCGGACAGGGGCAGCGACACGAAAGTGTGCCAGCACATTGCTTCAATGTATCCCTCTTCGGCGACTGTGCCTGTCCATTGATGACAGTTCTCTGAGCTGATTCGTCTTTGTGCGGGCAGAAAGCATATGGATCATGGTTTCCATAGTCATGATTCCCATACCTCGTCTCTTGCACCACTGTGCAAAGCACTCAAGCATACTTTCGCGCACAGCTACTGCACCAAAGCCAGGGCACACAGAAAGCCACGGAACTTGGTAAACTGGTGAGTTAGGATCTTGAATGCCGTAGGGCTGGGACCATACCTTCGGCGCAAACGTGCTAACCAGTCTAGGGCTGCTAGATTCTGCTGAATCTGCAACCCGGCGGCAGAACTTAAACGGTACTTACCGTCAAAGTCCTTCCCCCTACAACAGCACCGGCTGCCATCTCAGGGCAAGGCTCGGCGTCCCAAGCCTCTGGAGTTGCCCCAGTCCAATAGAAGTTGTCCCCGACTGACGCAATGAACAGCAGCTTCTTCGATCCCAACGCCTCTGTCGTGAGTGTGTGCTCAGTCTCGCTGTCTCTGAGTTACAATGCAGCTCCTGCTTCTCGGCGTAGGCTCGCAGTTGGGCTGCCACGGCCTCCCCCAAAAACCATGCGGGTGAAGGCACAGCAAATAATCAAGCACGGGCCCACTAAGGGTGGAGTAGCAAGCCTAACCCCATTGACATGTCTCGCTGCACTGATGCTGCACTTCATGGTCTTATGCTACACCAGAATTTCGCGGAACTATCGTTTTGTTCCACATGGATTTTGGCTCAGTTGGCCAATGCAGGTGCCTTCTGGCAGCTGCCAGGGCCGCCAGCTTTGCCCCAGTCACCAAGGATCAGGAAGTAGCTCATGTCTCGGCCGGCTCTGGACATCTGCAGGGGAGAGATGCATGCCTAGCAGAACAACTAAGTAAAGTACTTGCAAGCCACCGGGCTTGTGATTCAGTTGGGTCGAAGGTGCGCCTCGATTCCCAAGGGGTTGTCTGATGCATAGTTGTTGGAGTATGTATGTGTGGCAGGCAGAGGGCCAGATGGAGGTACAGTCACATGAGTGGTCGTTGCAGTCGCAGGAGTCGTTGTACTTTCCTCTTGGTGGTGTGAGCGATTCCAATATTCCCAAGAGATGTCTCCCTCCATCCCATCTCCGTCAGAATCTTGGTCTTGCGATGTGTCATCTGTGCCTGCAGTGTCTCGACCTCTCTCCGAGGTAGATGTATCCGCGCGGTCACGGTCTCCGTCTGATGCGGAGGTAGATGTATCCGCCCAGTCACCGTCTCCGTCTGATGCGAAAGAACCATCCCAGTCTTCGTCCGCGTCGCCGTACCCGCGGTATGCAGACTGGTGTCCCGGACGCGTGACAACTTCGCCCCTCTGATCCTGCTCCCAAGTCGCATCTGACCATGGGTCGTAGTCGCTGGCACCATCACTTGCTGGCATCTGATCGTAGTCGCTGACACCGCTCGAAAATTCCTGAATCACAGGTCGGTCCTGGCCCTTGGCTTCGCCGAAGGCCAGAGGAGCGTGCCGGAACCATGCAACTGACCCAAAGAGCAGTAGGACGACCAAAGCCAGTGGTATGTGCCACCGGCGGGATGCTTGGATTCGGTCTGCCTGATTCCCAGATTCTAGCTGCAAAAGCAGCTGCGCTTCGTCTTCATCCTGGCAGGCGGGGCATATCTGCTGCCTGCATCTGCCTGCACTGATATCAATCTACAGTCTTGCTAAGCATGATTTACGGCAATCTACGGCTACCGAGTGTCTGGATATCCAGCCGGGGCCTGGGAGTTTCCGGCAAAGGGTATTGTCGCCATGGCATGGATCGCGACCGTGCCGGATGCTAAGCAGTGCATAAACAGGCTTACTGTTTCTTGTGGTTCCATGCCTTCATCTCACGGCAATGGGCTGCACATCACATTTCCCGAATCCTGCAGGCTGCCTCCGAAAAGCCTGGCTTCACATCTGAAACAGAATGAAAGCTAAAGCTGCAGCAAGAAGACTGCTCTGCGCACATCTCATCGGCTTTGCCGGCAGCACAGAATTACTTCCTCTACTGCCGCACAGGGCATGCACACCAGCAGTGGAGCTGGGGAGCCGGCAAAGGGCCCCAACCGAGGGTCCACGTAAGATTCGCCTGGCAAGACATAGGGCCGCACAACGTATTGCCAGGTGTGCTTACAAATGGTCCTGCCCCAACAAGATAGCCCCACTCAGGCTGTTGAGCAAAAAGATTAACAGGGGAATGCTCCTAATGTTTGTCGGTGCTGCATAGGTTCATGTAGGACACGTTGAAACATGCATGATTTATGTAGATGCAGATGCGGACAAGCTCATTCATTCCGAACCCCTGTGTGCTGCAAGCCCAAGTGCACGTGCAGGTGAGTGCATGATTGAGCGCGCGCATGTCATGTGGGCCTCGGGGCGTGTTCATCCATGCACCTGTATGCACCTGAACAACATGTGTATGACCTATGGCTGTTGATTTATACAACGAATTATGCAGTAGACACATATCCACCCAACAAGCAGCTCCACAACAAAGCAGCGATGATCCCAAATAAGCATTCCCGCCGACTTGACTGACTTGACATTGATCTTCAGCGTTCTAACGAATTGAACCATGACCCCCCGCCTAGAACAGACATCTCCTGCTCGGCAGAAACCACAAGCCTGGGCAGGGCGGCAAAGCCCGAGCGCCCCACATGGATGAACCAAAGCACAGAAGCCTCCCGAAGCCGAAGACCTTCGAGCCTTCCCGGAAGCCTGTGTGGGAAAGATGGAGTTGAGCCAAGGGAGCCCGTGCAGTGCTGCACGCGGCAGCTTGTAGTAGCTGCGTAGCACCTGCAGTTGCATTTTGGCAGCCCGTGTCGACACGAAAATCAGACAGCATGTCCCTTTTGTGGCGTGCTCTTTCACACCCTGACTTTGGCCTCCTGATCTGCCTGTCGCAGACCTCCAGGCACAGTTGCGAGCAAGGCCTTCTTGACCTGTGAAGGTCTCTGCAATTTTGGCCGTTGAAAAGGCTTGGGTGCTGCATGAGCTTGGTTTCTACATCACGATCCCATGAATGATCAGCACCGAATCAATACCACTCGGGACAACTAGCAAACCAATCATAGCAACATGTCGGCCCAATCAACAGTTTCGGACATGCTCACTCGGTCGTATACTGTCGTGACGCGGGAGCCTCCGGCACGAACTGCAAGTCCATTCCTACAAAACAACACGTCCGGGAGACTCAACACGTGCTGCGCACAATATTGCATTGCTCGTAAACTCGCCACTCAGCTGTGGGACATCCTTGACCTGTGACAGATTCGATGTCCAAACCGAATGTGCCGGATGTGGTAGTCCAAGGTACGAGACATGACACAAGACCCACCGCCAGTACCACTTCATACATTCAAGCATGCAGCCTAATTGAGAAGCTGAGGCGTGATCGAGTGAAATAGACCTTGCAGCCCGAATGCAGAACGACGTGGCACTTGCAACTGTGAAATCGTATCATGGTCAGCTCTGAAAAAGATGGCCGCGTGTGGATGCACGTCATGCGACGAGAAAGGAACGGGTCCAGGCAGATTCCTTCACAAGAAGTATAGAGCGATGATATTGTGTCTATAGTGTCTTGCTACAACAGGGGAAACAAAATGACCACAAACACTGCTGAGCCGCTGGCACCTGCACGACTCATAAGGAGGTGATTGAGCTTCCTTGCCTCCAAGCGCGGCTCATCCTCAGATAATACGCAGCAGGCGTTTCGCAGGCATGAGTTGACTGTTCGTATGAACCGAAGCAGCTACTGAACCGAAGCAGCTGCCGCTGCAATCCTATACAATATGTCATGGGTTCCAAACGATCCCCCCCACACACACACACACACACACACCCCTAGGCTTGGCAAGAACTGATGAGGCGAACCTCG